GACACGAGAGCGGTTGCATAAGCCCGCTTTAATGCTTTTTTAAAAGCAGAAGGGCGGGCTAAAAAAGTGCACCCTCTAGGCTAAGAGAGCCCTTGGCTAGCCGGCTGGTTTTTAGACAATTTTGGATGTCTGTTAACTGTTCTCATTATTCGACTTGTTGTACCGGTCGACCTCGCCCAATATTTATTAAATAACACATAACCCTACTTGCCCCTCATACATTTTTCTGTTACAGATCACAACATCAACGATCTTCTAGGTTAGCGCCTCATATCACTAATTGTTTGTGAAATTTGTTGTTTCATATGTTTGTATATGATGTAAGGTCTCAAATAAAATTATTATTATCTTTGAACTAGTGGAATTGTACTGGACAACTATTTACCTCATGGACCAAATAAACCAAACCGCGCAGACAGCTCGCCAATTTTCTTGATATTTTAGATCGTGCCCATAATCACTCCCATTGTAGAATACAAAATATTTCTATCGCCTACTAAAAGGGATAAGACGGACTGACTAAATGTCTGGATGGGGAGAGAAAAGTAACATTGTCTAAGACGCCAAAATATTTTCTGATCGAGTAGCTAAGAAAAATTAGATAGGGCGTTGAAAAAATTCAGCCTTGACACCTATTCGGTTTGACCACTTTCGCCAATCATAATCGTCGGAACTACTTGGGAACAGCACCCAAACGTTTAGATAGTACTTTTTGTTCGGGACTCACACCGAAACTTTTGGGTGCCAGTCGCGAACTTTTCTCTCCGTGTATTATTGCGTGATGATCTCATAAACCCCTTTGTCCCTCACAGAGAGTTAAAATCAGCTGCTGCGTACCACGCAGTCAAGCGGTACGTGTCAAGACCGAGGGGGCCACCACTCTGATTCAGGACGTACACAGGATTACGTGATTACAGGGATTACACGTGAATTTCGAGGGAGTACACATGAATTGTTGAATTTCTGGCTCCAAAACCACTAAATTTAGCCAATAAAGTAAAATTTAGTGATAATGCGTTAAAATTTGGTAAAGGATTTCACGGAATATAGAAGGATTACATGGGGATTACACGCTCATCTGTACACAGGATTACGCCCGTGGTGGCCCCCTCGGTCAAGACCCACGAAGTTCAGACGCGCACTTGGGGACCTGCGTAAGTCTTCCGCTGAGGGATAGGTAATGCATGGTCTTGACACGCGAGTCTGAACTACGGGTGCATCGCAAAACGCGTCACTCTACTGCGTGAGTGTTCAGCAGCTTGGCTTGACTGTGTGCGTTTTAGTTTAAAGTGCTGAAATCGTCAAAGGTTGGCTTGAACGCGTCCTTGATTTAGAAAATGCTTAGACTGATACTTATAGTGTTCGGTAGACCAACTGCGTGTAAGGTACCGCATTGTTTTGTAAAAAAAACAACGTAACGTTACGTCTACACGTTGTCTAAGTTTGTCTATCCACTGTCTCGACAACGTCCCAACAAAGTCTCGATGCTATCTCCCATGGATACGCCAAGGCAACTAAAATTAGTTCACTAAAAAAGTCGACTAAAAAAAGTCGTCTAAAAAAATGGACTAAAAAAAGTCGACTAAAAAAATTCGACTTAAAAAAGTCGACTAAAAACAGCCGACTAGAAAAAGTCGACTAAAAATAATCGTTGACTATTAAATTTAGTCATCAATTTATTTTAATGGACTAAATTTAGTGGCACACTCTATTTAATGCTTGTCGTATTCAAAAAGTGATTTTTTTAGTCACTTTTTAAAGTATTTTTTTTTTTACTACTAAAAAAAAGGTAGGTCATATGCCAGGTAGGACAAAAGGGGCCGTCCGTGCCAAACAAGCTTCACGCAAAACAGTAGCGACCGCACGCCAACTGGATCACAAAGAGAGCTACGAGCCTCTCGAATGCCAATGCATAGAGGAAGCTCCCACTGGGATCAACATGGGTAGACTTCTCGGGGCTTCTCTGGGCACGTATAGAATTTATAGAGAAAACCTTAATTCTTGCAGAAGGTTGTGTTTCTTCCGAGATTGTTCTCTGATTCACGGGCTGATCGTTATCACGTAACAGAGCACGTAACCAAGCATAAGTACCGTCCCATCCCGCCAAATTGTAATTGCTCATCGATAGTTTAAATTTACTTCGTTCATAAATCGCATACGACCGAAAACATACATGTGATTTTCAGAAAACTTGCCGATTCCGAAAAAACAAAAACGCATTTAAGGTGTAGCAACCGCCTAACTCACACTAACGGGGAAGACAAAAGTGACGAGTCGGACATTTTAATGCGTACTCTCAGATAGCAGCGAGGATTGCCTAACTAGGTTAGAGCGTGTACACTACCCAGCAAAACAACTGGGAATTCCAGTGGGTTAAGATATGCGTAAGAATTTCACTTTTCAAGCAGAACATTCATTCTGCTTTACTGTGTATGAAAACTCAGCAATGAAGCATACCGGTAAAGCTGCAAGAAAAAAAAGCGGGTTCGTTCTCAGCATTCTTTTGCACTTACGCTTTACCGAAATGCCTGAAAGCCTCATTCATTAAGTTAAAGCTGACCCTCCCTACGAACACGCGGCTATAATTATGGGCGTGGTAGACAAATGGCTATCTTTTTGAACTGGGCAGACAAACAACTAACTGCTTTCTCCACCTCGCGACTTTGGGTTCTAATATCTCGCAGTAGAGGTTATGTAACACGTTTAACCAATTATTCTTTGCGGTTGTCGAAGCAGGGAATTTCTTAACCGGTAATTTAATGTCCCCTGCTTCGGGAATTATTCCAAATAGTGAAAAAAGTAGGTAGGTTTACAGGAAAATTTTCCTTGACGCAAGTTGTAAAATAACAATTTGTAATCGTAAAAATACATGCGGTATGTATCGACTTCAATGACTTAGCGAGTAAAACATGTGCTGTCGTAAATTCAGAACTTAACTTATAATTCGAGTTTACAGTTTTTTTTTAAATTTACGACGAAATATTTTAAAGTGTATGGCAGCCACGCAACCTGGAAGTCGGGAAAGTTAGAGAAGAGTCAAGGGAAACTATTGGTCAGGTACGAGTCTGGGAACTGAACGTTGGTCAGGGAAAATTACTGGATTTTGTTCTAAGGTGTTGTGCCCAAGCTCTCGGTGGCACTTTTGATTTTTCGGAACTCGAAAAGTACTTTTCCAGCGTTAGCACGTTCCTCCAAATAAAATTCCCAAAGTCAGAGAATTATCAACAAAGTCAGGGAAACGCCAGAGAAAAGTCAAGGAATTTGAAGTCCCCGATTGCGTGGCCACCCTGTATTCAATATAAATCTGGACAGCCCTAACCTCACAGAAAAGCAGATAGCCGTTTGTCGGCCACGCTCGGAAAGATAGCCGCTTGTGTGTAGGGAGGGTCGAAGTCATTGATTCTTATCCACTGTCTGACATTAATTTTTTCCGTTCCTTTTACACGATTCTGTCTTAGTTGTGATCGCGACACTGCTCAATACTGCAACGTTTTTTATGTTTGTTGCAATCGTGAACCAAGAAGGCACCGATGGAAAATCTATCAGAAGCTTTGCGGTAGGACTTAAATGGCAAATTAGCAGCTCTAGGGCATGGGACCAGGCATGCAACCATGCAAATTTGTTCCCATTTGTCAGTTGTTACAGAGTTACCCACTCTTATCTCAAAAATGAATTGTCAGATAGCAAAGTCATTTTGCCTCAAAATGCCTAGCTTTCGCAAAAATTTAAAATTTTATGAGAGAATTTCTGCTAGAACACATGTCATAAGAAAGTTAGATACAATTACAACTCAAAAAGACATTTTGACTACATTGTTATCTGCTTTGTACTCTGATTTTCACCTTTAGAGCATTTCCTCGTTTCTATAAGGAGAGGGAATTGTATGTTGCATCATACTTAAAGGGGTCAAGAAATTCTTCATTTTTGGCTGAGCGATTAGCGAAGCCCATTACTCCAGTGATGATCAAAAACCACAGGTCCAACAAATAATGTGTTTTAAAAATATTTTCTCTGGGCAAAAATTTCGTCCGTTTGGCTCTATCGTCAACCATTTAGGCGCCACAGGGAGTTTTTGACGAAAATTAGCGAAAAAATGTACAACCCTGCATGTTAAGTCGGAGCGAGTTCATTTTTGGGATACCCGACTCTGGTGTCAGCGCCGCAGGCCTAGGTAGATGTATGCCAGGCACGTCGCAGCGCAACAGTGTTTCGTGAGATATCGCGAAGCCTGTTACGCGAGACGTGGTCTGGCGTACATCTACCTAGTTTAAATATTAATTTGAGAATATTTGTTATCATGGTAAAATACTGACGTTTGTGAAAGTTGTATCCAATGCATGTGCTGCATTTTATGCTCTAATTTGTAAATCTGATGATCTTTCTTGTGACCCTCAGTATCATGTTGTTCTTCGCGCTAGTCCTGCTTGCTTACATCTTGTGCCAGTGTCACAGTTGTGCAATGTCACATTCTCTTTGAATGTTCTTGAAACCACTTATCTGATAGACAGATTAAATTCTTTTGAGTTGGAGTGAAACTTTGCTTAATATTTATGCCTGCCTAGACGTTTTCCACAGAACAAACTACTTCACTTGACCAGGGGGTAGAAACGAGGCGCTCCGGCCGTCCACCATGCGCGCCCCCGGCCGCGCGTGAGCCGATCCGTGCACGCCCTGTTTCTTCTCACTTTTTAACATGGTTTGATACTTGGGCCAACCGCAACAGTAGTACCGGGCGAAAGGGGAAGTTCAAACTTTACAAAGGTACCACTAAAATCCACACCCGACCTCATTCCATCGAGAAAATTTGATTTTAGTGAACTTGCAGGCCGCCCGGGGACGCCACCTGCGCGCAAACGAAACAAATTTCC